GTGTGCGATGGTCTGGGGGAGTGCGTGTGCGATGGTCTGCGGGAGTGGGTGTGCGATGGTCTGGGGGAGTGCGTGTGCGATGGTCTGGGGGAGTGGGTGTGCGATGATCTGGGGTAGTGGGATATACTCAGGTCTGATCCAAGTAGCCACCCAGGGTGGGCAGTCCCATGCAGTGTCCCTGGGCCTCAGGCCGCTCCACGGCCAAACCTGGCCTTTAGAGTAGCTATGTTTGCAGAGCCTCAGAAGGCAGCCTTGCTGGGCAGAAGCGGGAGGGCCGGCTCAAGGCAGCCCAGGCCCTCGGGCCCGGAGCCGAGGAGGAGCCTCTGAAGGTGAGAGCGTCTGGCTCTTGGCTCACCTCTGGCTTCGTTCTCGCTGTCCAGCACGATCTGGAAGGTGTCAGGGGCCAGGGCCAGTCCTGCGTTCACCAGCAGCGCACGCTTCTTCCTCACACTGTCTTTGGGGTGCGTAGCTTTTTTGGCCTGCGGAAACCAGATTTGATATGGCGGGCACGGTGTGCGCAGTGGCTCTTCCTGGGACTGTGAGAACTCTTGGCCTTTGGCTTTTGGCGCGGGGGCGGTGGGCCCTCTCCAGCCCCTCCCAGGCCTAGCCCTGCGGCTTAGCCGGGGCCTGGGTCTTGGGGTGCGCGGCCCTGCCCTGCTACCTGCTGGATGGCCATGTTGGCCTTGTCCTCTGCGCGCTCTGGGGAGTGGTACAGCATGGTGCACAGGTGCATCCGGTTGAAGCCCATCCTGAGCTTGTCCTGGTAGACGCCCAGCGTGTCCAGGGCCGAGGCCTTGCGCAGGTGCTCCATGGCCGTCTCCAGCTGGTCCGCGTCCTCCTCCATGTGCCCCAGCTCCATGTGCACTTGGCAGCGTAGCAGGGTCATGAGACTGGAGCGGGGGTGCGTGTGCGTCAGGAGGCCCTGCGGGAGCCCGCCAGGCACCAGCCCTCCTCAGGCGGCTGCCCAGCCTCCTGCTTTCCAGCCCCCTTCCTGTCAGTGCCCTGCCCTGAGGTGCTGGTGCCACCAACAGGGGCTGATGAATGGAGAGCGTCTCTTCAGCCATTGGAAAACGCAGAGCCAGTCCGGCAAGAGCCCTGGGCCCTGGGGTGGGGGTGGGGGCTGAGAGGCGGCCCACGGGCCTGGCCCCGGTTGGCCCTGTCTGTTGCGCAGGGCTCTGGCATCCTGGCCATGATGGTGTAACACAGCCTTTCATCTGTGCTCAGGGCAGAGGAGCTGGCTAAGGTGGGCATGCGGCCCTTGAAGAGCGCGGCGCAGCACGGGGGCGTGCAGGCTGTACCCCAACACCACCACATGCAGCTGCCACCCCCCCACGAGCTGACGGCCTGGGGGGTGGCTGAGTTGTAGCCCAGCCAGAGAGGGGCCACGAGGCAGGAAAACCACAACCAGCAGATTCACAGACAGAGTCCACACCGCCAGAAAGGGGCGCACGCAGCTGGCTGAGAGACCTGCAGACCAGTGCTTCTGCAGTGATTTCTGCTTCCTGCCCTCTCACGGGCCACACCACCACCACAGCATCAGCGCACCCGGACCCAAGCCAGAGGGCAGTTGCTTCTTGGCACGGACAGCAGGTATCACTGGCTGAGGCCGCCGGCAGAGAGCAGGTGGGAGGGACAGAGAACAACGCAGGGTGTGATGCGATCCGGAAGCATCACGTTCCTGAACTCATTTCCTGAACAGCAACTCCTTTGTATAACAACTTAAAGGTGGTAAAGTAGTGTTTAAGAAGAGAAAGCATTCAGGAAGGACCCTGGTGATGGCCTATGGCGGTGGCCGCCATGGAGGCCGCATCCTGCAAGCCGAGCTGGAGAGGTCAGGGCACAGGGTTTGGTTGCTATGGTGTGACACAAACTGCCTATAATGGCTCAAACAAAACCTCCCGCGACAGCTGGATTGATCACACAGGCCAGACGCTGCCAGGCAGAGTCCCAGCAGGACAAGAGCAGGAGACACACCTGAGCAGAACAGCAAGACCCCCAGATGGCACTCAGAAGGACAAAATGTGAAGGTAAGCTGTGGGAGGCCAGGCACGCAGGTGGAGAGGGGACGGCCCTCAGGGAAGCCGCCACTTGGAGGCTTCAATAACCAAAGTATGTCCACAAACGGAAGGAAAAGCAGCATTAATGAATGAGCAGGTAGGAATTTCATTAGAGACGGTGCATAGCAACGGTACACACAGAAGGCAGAAGGAAGGAGTCGACAGGAAGTACCTAGTGAGTGCAAGAGACTCAAAACATAGTGCAATCCTGGAGGGGCCACATTTTAGTGGTCTCAGAGGAAGAGGAATGGATTGAAGAAACAATCGCTAATGACTTCTCAGAGCTGACAAAAGCATCACTTCACACACCCCGGAATTGTAGACACCCCCATACAGAATTTAAACAAAAGACCCTCTAGAAGCACCACAAGCGCGGCGTTGGGAAGTAAAGTTAGAGACTGAGCGTCCAGAGGAGCCACGGCCGAGCTGCCTCAACTTTCCACCAGACACCAGTGGATACAGCGCCTGTCCCAGCCCGCGGGGACTATGAAGGGTGTCACTGCAGTCAGCGTCCACCAGCCATGCCTTGCGGAGGGGAGGTAACGCAGATGGGCTCTGCTCTGTGGGACACTGGAACTGGCACAGAGGGGCAAATCCAAGCAGCCGCTGTTTTCCTGAAGTTACAGGTCTGTGCCACGGGACCAGTGGGAGGCAAAGGTCTGAACCGGACCAAGGGCACGCCACACTGCTCTGGAGATGCCGGCCCCTAGGTGCACAGTGGAGAGGCCACAGAGCCAACCAGGGAGTCTCAGAATGCACATGAGCCCCAGAGGAGGCCGCAGGGAGTCGGTGGCACGGAGAGCATCCCACAGCACGCCGGTCACGGCGCCAGCCCCAGGCCGCAGGGAGCAGGGCCGGCCCCAGCCTCTGGGGTCCCCGGAGACCCCGGAGCCAAGGCAGGACACACGCCCAGCTGCCAGACAAAAATCCAGAAGCCACACAATCAGAGGGGACCCCGTGCCCAGGAGCCGCCGAGGCGGGGTGGGTCTCAGAGAGAGTTCCCCCAGAATAAGATAAGCAAGCCCAGCACCCCAGGCCCTGGCCCACCATGGTTTAAGGGGGAATCACGAGTAGACCACACACTTTGGAAAATGACTTTGAACAGACACGTGACAACTCACTTTACAAAGGCCGTGTGCCCTGTGTGAAGCCTGCCAGAGAGGGGTGTTTGGAGCAGGGATGTTGTGCAAGGGGACAGGTGAGCACGTTAAGAATGGGAAAGACGCTCACCTGGCTCTACGGGAAATGTGGAGTATCAACTGCCGGGTACAGACACCTGCGTGTCTGTGTGTCTGAGGATGTGCTCACAGGAAAGGCTAAACTTGACCAGGAAGTGGAGCACGGGGGGAGGGGGGGCAGGGGGGCGGGAATCCCACAGCATCCGCAGGCAGAGCACTGAATCACCAAAAGGAGAGGACCCTGAGGCAGCCGGTGTGAGCCGGGCTCGGGGGCGCAGTGCGGTCTGCCTATGCTGCTCGGAGTGGGGGCGGGACAGCTGGGCTCTGCCCCTCTCTGCGGCCCCCCCACCCTGCCACGGGCCCCGAAACCCCGCAAGGCCCGGGCGCCTACCTGTCCACCTTCTCCAGGACGTCGGCCACGTTGGTGAGCGGCCTGCGGAGGTGGTGCCTCAGGCTGTGCTGCAGCAGGGGCAGGCAGAGGTTCCACTGGGTGGTGCAGACCACCTGCACGGCCTGGGGGTCGCCCAGGCGGACGGCGCGCTGCAGCACCAGGTCCAGCCTGTTGATGATGTCCAGCTGGTCCTGCAGGGCAGCGCGCCGTGAGGACCGTGAGCGAGGCTGCGGCTGGAAGCCAGAGCCCAGAGAGCTGGGTGGGGCCGGGCGGCAGGAAGGCCTGGGTCCGCGGGACCGCTCCCTGGTCTCCAGGCCCGGGGGAGCTTTGTGGCGGGGCACCGGTCTCTCCAGGATGTCTGCTGGCTTTAGCCTCTCTGCAGGTCATTGTGTCTCTTCCATGAGTACCATCCGCATCTCTGCTTCCTAACCTTTTCTCTAACTGGGGCCTACTTCTTGTGTTACTGTCCAAATAACACCCTCTCTGGTTTGTCCTTCGGACCCTTCTCCACAGAGAGGCTGCGGGCTGGGGTGTCGGGAAGCACCCAGCTCCAAGCCTGCCCTACACCACCGCCCAACCCCACCTGCTCCTCCCTCTTGCTGCTCCTGAGCTGCAGGGTGGAGCCCTGTCTGGATGAGCCAGTCTGCAAAGCCTCCCAAGGGGAGGGCACGCCACACAGCCACAGCACTCAGACTACAACCCGGCCAGCCTGGACTGTAGTCCCACCTCAACACATGGCAGCCCGTGTCCTCTGTAAATCACTTCCAAGCCCACGTCTCAGAGCTGTCCACTGCCTGCCAGGCCGCTGCTCAGGCAGTTCCAGCCATCAGTGACCACCCTGGGGTAGCCTGGCGTAGGTGGACAGAGGCAGGCCCGCCGGGGGACAGCACACACGCAGGACAGGGAGTGCGGGGTGTGTCCAGCCCCGGCCCTGGGCCCAGTCCCGCGGGGCAGCCAGCCTGGCTGTGCCCTGCTGGCGCCACCCTCAGGCCACCGCGGGAAGGGCGCCTTGGCCCACAGCAGAGCTGCCGGGCACTGTTCCCATCATGTTTTCCTTTTGGTGGATGGCCAAAATCTTACGGAAGAAGAGTTGACAGGAATTTCTAGACCACTGTCACTAATGTTTGCATCTCCACACCCAGCCTCTGACCCAGCCTCCCCAGAGGCTGCGGCCCTGAGCCGGGCCGGGGCAGCGGGAGGCCCTGCCCCGCACAGAGCGCTCCCCCACACTGTGAGCCACGCTGACCACGGTCATCCAAGGGCAAGTGATGCTAGGTGTGGGGCGGCCTGGCAGGGGGAGGCTCTGGTCAGTCTGCAGAAGGGTGGGGCTGGAGCCATCAGAGACCCACCTGGGGTCCTGTGACCCAGGCCTGGGCACAGGGGCTCTGGCCTCCTTCCCGGGAGGCTGCACACCCCCCCCCTCCCCACAGCCCCTGTCCCGAGCACCACAAGCCGGGCTGTGTCTAGCAGTGGGGCCCAGACGCCACCGGCAGTGCCCTCAAGCCTGTCCTCAATGCAGTGACCCCCAGCCACCTGCAGAGCGGCGTCCACAGCTTTACCTCCACAGCATCTCGGAGGTAGACCTTCACTCTGCTTTCAAGGATCAGAGCCTCCAATTCACATTCCAGACATTCGATTTCAATGGGCTTTACAGAGTCCTGTGGATTCAAGAAGGAGACTTGTCATCACATCCATTGATGTGAAGACCACATAAACCACGGCAGTGCACTGGGCAGAAGTTCAAGAAAGAGAACAAAGATGCTTAGGAGCATTGCTCAATGTTTCCGAAGATGCAAAAGGTTTCTGCGAGAAAGCTAACTTCTTCTTGTTCTTACCTTTGCAATGGGGGGCTGGGGGAGGGGAGAAGCTCATTAATTGCAGTGGACCTTGAAGTTTTAAATAATTAAAACAATCCAGATAAACTGCTTCTAGAAACTTAGTAAGCATGCTTTCTTTTACTTCTGGCCTGGAGCCCTGGGCCAACAGCAAGGGCTGTGGATGTGGTTTGGGGTCCCTGTGCTCCTGGGCCACCCCGGTGAGGGACCAGCAGTGCTGTCCTGTGGTCACCTCCCTCCCCCTCCCCCCGGTCAGCACCAAGGATTCCTGGAGCAGATCCAGTGTCCAGCAACCATGAGAGCCAACCAGAAAGTTCCTGCTTCGCATCATCCTCAGACAGCTCTGCTCTCCCTGCGACGCAGCGTTAGGCGCCCTGTACCTGCCACAGGCGGCCCAGGCAGAAGAGTGCCTGCAGGTATCAAGAAGAACACTTCCATCCACCTTTCAACTGCAGTTTCCATCTACTGATTTTTGGGGGGAGGTGATTCTCATTAAAATATACACTATATGAGCAAAAATATAACACTTTCTTTGTTTCTTTCTTCCTTTTCTGTCTTGTTTATTTTTTTGCTGGGGCTTGAAATCAGGGCCTGGGCACTGTCCCCCAGCCCCCCCCCCGACCTCCTGAACCACTGTCCAGCCCTGTCTAAGTGTCATCTGATGGCCATGGTAGAGACAAAGTTTCATTTCCATGGAAACAATGTTCTTAGTTCACACTCAAATGTACTAGTGGTCTCCCTCTTGCTGAGTGAACTGCTTCTTGTCTGTCCAGCCTCCGGCAGGCTGTGAAGGTCTGTTGGTGTCCACCTTCATGGTAACTCGGGACGGGACCCACAGCTGGTGGCCAGTACGACAGCGGGAGGCAGGCTGCAGCCTTTGAGACTCCATCATTTGTCATCTTACCCCCATTCCAATCGGAGCCGCCGTGGCACTCAGGAAGGCCTCTCGCGGCTGCCGACGTTACAGGGAGGGCTACAGGAGACCAGCACTCCTAATACTTTGGGTGAAAGCTCTCAGTGTTGTTTGTGTATGTGAGGGCCACACCTCATGGCATATGCTTGTGATTGCAGCAACAAAGGAGGGCAGCCTGGGAAGCCAGAACTAGACCTTATCAAAGACAAACTAAAAATCCAAAGGGCTAGGGGTATAGCTCAAGTGGTAGAGAGTCTGTCTAGCAAGCCTGAAGCCTTCAGTTCAAAGCCCAGCATTAAAAGAAATAATCTTATGACACAAGCAGAGTTAAATAGGAATTAAGTGCCCAGTTACTAAGGTCAGAGAGCAGAGATATGTCACTCCTGGGGAACACGGAGGGCAGCATGGGCCCGGGCTGGCGGTGAAGGTGCACAGGAAAGGCAGGTGGGACTAAAGACGCCATGTGACCATGTACAACCCTGTGCAGAGGGCCAGATGACCGTGCACAGCACACGTGAAGAGGACCAGATGACCACAGCACACGTGAAGAGAACCAGATGACCACAGCACACATGAAGAGGGCCAGATGACCACAGCACACATGAAGAGGGCCGGATGACCACACACAACACACATGAAAAAGACTGGATGACCATGCACAGCACACGTGAAGAGGACCAATGACCAGGTACAATACATATGAAGAGGGACAGATGACCATGCACAGTGCACATGACTAAGTACAACACACATGACAAGGACCAGATGACCACACATGAGGAGGACGGTATGACCACGTACAGCACACATGAAGAGGACCAATGACATGCACAACACACATGACAAGGACCAGATGACCACATGCAGCATACGTGAAAAGCACCAGATGACCATGTACAGTGCACATGGAGAGGACTGATGACCATGTACAACACACATGAAAAGGACCAGATGACCATACACAGCATACATGAAGAGCACCAGATGACCATGTACAGTGCACATGAAGAGAATTGGATGACCATGCACAGCACACATGAAGAGCACCAGATGACACAACACACATGACCACATATAACACACATGAAGAGGACTGGATGACTCTTAATGACACATATGAAGAGGACTGGATGACCATGCACAGTATGACCATGTACACACGTGACCACATAGAACACACATGAAGAGGACCAGATGACCACGCACAGCACACATGAAGAGGACCAGATGACCAGGCACAGTGCTTATGACAAGGACCAGATGACCATGTACAACACACATGAAAAGGACCAGATGACCACACACAACATACATGACCATGTACAATACACATGAAGAGGACTGGATGACCATGCACAGCACACATGTAGAGGACCAGATGACTGTGCGCAGTGCACATGACCACATACAACACACATGAAGAGGACCAGATGACCATGCACAGCACACGTAAAGAGGGCTGCCCATGTCATCAGTATGTTCTATCATTAAGTCACTTACTTTGTCCTCGATTTCACTCAGATCTGAGATGCAGTCAGAGGCTATCCCCTCACATTTCAGGTCCAGAGAAAGATGAGCTAATTCAAAAAGCAAAGACATCCTGGAAAGAAACGAGAGGGCATTGGTTCAGCAGGGGTCAGGAGGGAAATCCACCTGGCTGTGCACACCGCCCATCTCTGTGTCTCTGCTCTGTTGGGACTCAGGCAGGAGCGACAGGTTGATATGAAATAATGACGAGCCAAGGCGCTGCTGGGCCTGTGTGCTGGCTGCCTTCCCCAGTGACAGCCTGGCTGCTCCCCCCTGCCCTCCGTGCTGGGCCTCGCATGCTGCGTTGTCCCCACCCAGTCCCCTGGGCAGAGCAGGGCCACATAGGCTCGTCAGGATGCTGCCCTGCACAGCACCCATGCTGATGGCTGGGTGAGGAGCCAGGCGGCCCGGGGAGGGGCAGCCTTCTGCTTGGACAGTGCTCAGGCCACCTGGGATTTCACAAACGGCCTTCAGTGCAACTGGCCGGCTTATGTTAAATGTGTATGGAAGCACAAGGGCCTGTGGTAGCCAATCGGCTTTGAAAAGGGACCAGGTTGTAGAAGAAACAGCATAGCTTAAGATTCCTCACAGGCGGAGAGGATGAACGGAGAGTGTACTGTGCACAGACTGGGCCGGGCCTGCTGGCCTCATGCCCGCCCACTGCTCTGTGGAGACTCTTCCACAGTACCGGGTTTGAAAGCCACCAGGTGCTGGCAGCCTCTGTCTGGGCAGCGGATAGACCTTGTGAGGCTCTCAGATAGAGAGAGACCTCCAGGGTCCTCTGAGCCTCACCCTCAGTGAGTCAGTTCAGCATGGAGCACTGGGCTGGTGGGAGTCAATGCTATCCAACATCCAACTCATGTTAAATATAACATTTCTGCTAGCAAAATCTATAAAATCGAAATGGTAGTTCATGTAGCAGGAGGCTGAACAGCAATTTTCATTTTCATTTCACCCATTCATTTCATTCTATTCATTCACTCCATCAACAAGAAAAGTCCAGTGACACAAAGTGAGTAGATTCTGAGGAGAGAAAGATGAGGAGAGAGGAGGAGCTTCATGGAGCTCATGGGAACTCAGGAAATCATAGAAAAGCAATCGACGAAGAAGGGAAATGGCAAGGAATTTGGAACTGGTGTCTGGCTTCTGTGGCTGGGGCAGGGGGTCAGGAAGTCAGCAGCATCAGTAAAAGTCAGTTCAGAAAGAAAGGATAGAAGACCTTCAAGCAAATGGGCTCAGAAAGCAGCCAGAAGCAACCATGTTTGTATCTGGTAAAATAGACCTCAAAACAAAATCATTCAGAAGAGACAAAGAAGCTCACTTCATACCAATAAAGAGAATGAGAATAATCCAACTTACAACTGACAACAGAGAGGCACAAGATAGCAGCAAACTTGGGTTCACTGTCACACACTGAAGTAATACATCCCAGCTGAGAAGCAGTGGAGGAACCAGCTCCCACCAGCAGAGCGGTCATCAAACAGTGTGAACACTCCCACCAGCAGAGCGGTCATCAAACAGTGTGAACACTCCCACCAGCAGACAGGTCATCAAACAGTGTGAACACTCCCACCAGCAGAGCGGTCATCAAACAGTGTGAACACTCCTGACAGCAGACAGGTCATCAAACAGTGTGAACACTCCCACCAGCAGAGCGGTCATGCCAACAGTGTGAACACTCCCACCAGCAGACAGGTCATCAAACAGTGTGAACACTCCCACCAGCACACAGGTAATCAAACAGTGTGAACACTCCCACCAGCAGACAGGTCATCAAACAGAGATCTGAAGAGCATTTCATCCAGTTACCACACAGCACAGATCGCATCCTGAGACTTATATCAAGTCTGAGCACATACCAGGAAACTGAAGTTACTACTACTATTCTATTTGATCATAATAGAATTAAACTACAGCTCAACAGCAAAAGGTGCTACAGAAAATATTCACATGCTTGGAGACCAAACCGTGCACTGTCCAATGCCATGTAGGTAGGTAACTGAAGCAATAAAAGAAGAAACCAACAAGTTCTTGGAATCTAATGACATCAAAAGCTTTGAAAACACTAGAAACTTTGAGATGAAAAGCCAGTATTGAGAGGAAAATTATAGCCATCAGTGCCGATATTAAAAACAAATAAAAAAAGTTCTCAAATAGAAAAAACAAAAACAAACAGAGTTCTCAAGTAGGCAGACTTATAATGTACCTCAAACACCTGGACAAACAGGAATAAACCAAGTCCCAACTAGCAGTTATAAAGCAACAGCAAAAACTAGGAAAGAAATGAATGAGTGGGGACTATAAAAAGAATGAGACAAAAAATTGGTTATTTGATAAAAATAAGACTGATAACTTAGCTAATTTGACTAAAGATTGAGAGGAGACTCAAATTAATAAAGTTAGAGATGAATGGGGAATATCTCAACACATTCCAAACAAACCAAAGGATCATGAGGAAATTCTTCAGAAGCCTACATTCAAATAAGAAGAAATAGATATTTAATTTATTTATTTGTTTATTTATTTAGTTATTGCGGGTCCTGGGTTGGGATGCTGTCCCTGAGCTTTTGTGCTTGAGCCTAGCACTCTACCACTTGAGCTACAGCTCCACTTTGGCTGGTGCTTAATTGGAGATAAGAGTGTCATAGACTTTTTTGCTCTGGCTGGCTTTAAACTGTGATCCTCAGATCTCAGCCTCCTGAGTAGGTAGGATTACAGGTGTGAGCCACCGGCACCCGGCTGATAAATTCTTAGATAGAGTTGACCTGCTTAAATTAAACTAAGAGGTTATTACATATGTAACAAGCAACTAAACTGAAATAGTAATAAAGAATCTCCCAACAAAGAAAAGCCCAGAACCAGATGGATTCACTGCCAAATTCTGCCAGACCTCAAAGAACTAATACCAATATATCTCAATCTCTTTTACAAAATAAAAGAGGAATACTACAAAACTTATTCTGACAAGCAAATATTACAATCACACCAAAACCAGAAAAAACACAGCAAAAACAGAATTATGAATTACTTTTGTTGAGCATTGTTGCAAGAATTCTCAATAAAATTCCTACAAACCAAATTCAACAGTACATTAAAAAAATCATACACCATGATGAAGTTGGTTTCATCCCTAAAATTACATTAAAATAAGTGTAATACACCACATACACAGAATCAAGAACCAAAACCACAGGATCTTTGCAATCGATGCAGAAAAAAGTCTGATGAAATTTACCATCATTTTATGATAAAAGCTTTGAAGAATCAGGAATGGAAGAAACTCACCTGAACTTAATGGGACAGATCTATGGCCCACATCACATGGACCAGGGGACAATGTGATCATCTCCCCTAAGGCATGGGAAAGGGCCTCTGCTCTCCCACTCACTCAGTAGAGCACCAGAATCCCTAGCCAGAGCAGGAGACTGGAGAAAGAAATAAAAGGAATTCCAAGAGGGAAGGAAGAAGTAGAATTATCCCTGTTTACAGATGACGTGATCCTATAGTTAACAGACCCTGGAGACCTTACAAAAAAAAATCTAAAACTTAATAAATACCTCTGTAAACATAGCGGGGTATAAAACCAATATGCAAAAAGCAGTAACTTTTTAATATATTTATATATATTTACATTTTATATATGAACAATGAACAGGGTGAGAAAGAAATCAGGGGGAAATTCCATTCACAGTAACCTCAAAAATAATAAAAGACCTGGGTATTAACCAAGAAAGTCGCAAATCTTTACAATGAGAGCTATAAAACCTTGAAGAAAGACATTGAAGAAGGAGTCAGAGATGCAAAGAGCTCCCGTGCTGGGGGGGGGGGGCAGCAGAATTCAACACTGTGAAGACAGCCATACTGCCAGAAGCCGTCCACAGATCCAACACAATGCCCACCCAAATCCCAACATCATTCCCCATAGAATGAGTAAAGTCAATACAAAATTCATGTAGAAGCATAAAACACCCTGGAAAACAAAAGCAATCCAGAGTAAAAAGTGTATCACAATACCAGACTTGGGATTATATGACAGAACCATGGTAACAAAAACAGCTTGGTACTCATTCAAAAACAGCTTGAAGACCAATGGAACAGAATAGAAGGTCCAGAAGTAAAATCCCACAGCAACATCTAGCTAAATTTTAATAAAGGAGCAAAAAACATGCTCTAGAGAAAAAGTATCCCCTTCAAAAATGGTGCTGGGGAGCTGGAGCTCCATCCGCAAGCAACTGAAACTGAACCCCTGCCTCCAATCATGTGCCAATTGGATCAGAGAGCTCAAAGTAAGAGCTGGAACTCTAAATCTACTGTAGGGCAAATGTGCAGACCCTGAAATTATAGGCACAGGTAAGTTCTTTCTGACTGAAAGAGGATGGGCAAAAGAACTGACATATGAGACTATATCAAATTAAAGAGTTTCTGCACAGCAGGGGGAGAGGGGCACACTGGATCAGGGGGGAGGGACACTGGAGCAGGGGGAGGGACACACTAGAGTAGGGGGGAGGGACACTGGGGCAGGGAGGAGGGACACACTGGAGCAGGGGGAGAGACACTGGAGCAGGAGAAGAGGGGCACACTGGAGCAGGGGGGAGGGACACTGGAGCAGGGGAGAGGGACACTGGAGCAGGGGGGAGGGACACACTGGAGCAGGGGGAGGGACACACTGGATCAGGGGGAGGGACACACTGGAGCAGGGGGAAGGGACACTGGAGCAGGGGGAGGGACACACTGGAGCAGGGGGGAGGGACACACTGGAGCAGGGGAAGGGACACACTGGAGCAGGGGGAGGGACACACTGGAGCAGGGGGGAGGGACACTGGAGCAGGGGGAGGGACACACTGGATCAGGGGGAGGGACACACTGGATCAGGGGGAGGGACACACTGGAGCAGGGGGGAGGGACACTGGAGCAGGGGAGAGGGACACTGGAGCAGGGGGGAGGGACACACTGGAACAGGGGGAGAGACACTGGAGCAGGGGGGAGGGACACTGGAGCAGGGAGGAGGGACACTGGAGCAGGGGGGAGGGACACACTGGAGCAGGGGGAGGGACACACTGAACAGGGGGAGAGACACTGGAGCAGGGGGAGGGACACACTGGAGCAGGGGGGAGGGACACACTGGAGCAGGGGGGAGGGACACACTGGAACAGGGGGAGAGACACTGGAGCAGGGGGGAGGGACACTGGAGCAGAGGGGAGGGACACACTGGAACGGGGGGAGGGACACACTGGAGCAGGGGGAGGGAACCTAGGAGCAGGGGGAGGGACACACTGGAACAGGGGGAGGGACACACTGGAGCAGGGGGGAGGGACACACTGGAGCAGGGGGAGAGACACTGGAGCAGGGGGAGGGGCACACTGGAGCAGGGGGGAGGGACACACTGGAGCAGGGGGAGGGACACACTGGAGCAGGGGGAGAGACACTGGAGCAGGGGGGAGGGGCACACTGGAGCAGGGGGGAAGGGACACACTGGAGCAGGGGGAGGGACACATTGGAGCAGGGGGTAGGGACACTGGGACAGGGGGAGGGATACTGGGGCAGGGGGAGGGACACACTGGGGCAGGGGGGAGGGACACTGGAGCAGAATGTCTCTCTCCCCCTTCCCCAGGGTGTCCCTCTCCCCCGGGCAGCCAGTGTCTAGTGCAGAGACCGCCACAGTCTGCCTGGGCCACCCACACAGACTGCCTGGCGCTCTGCCGCCAGTGCTGGCCTTTGCTGTCTGTCTCTGAGGTGCCAAGTCATCTGTAGTCCACTTGCAGCTGGATCTCACAGGCAGCCATGTGAGCCAGCCACCAGAGGGCGGCAGCGGCCCCTCGCTGGAGCTCTGCTGTGGACTGGGGAGCAGTAACACACACACAACCCACATCATTTCCAGGGCGGTGGCCACAGAGTGCCGCAGGCCAGTGGCTCACACCACAAACAGGGCCAAGCCTCCGCACCCCTGGCCCAACTCAGCTGAGGCTTGGGCAGGGCCCTGGCTCCCCAGCCTCGGCCACACTCAGCCAGCCAGGCATCTCCTGCCGTCCTGTGGCCTGCCCCTGTGCGCTCTCCTGAAGAAGACACGGGTCCTGGGGTCAGGCCCACCGACACCCCGCGGAGCCTCACCTGAGCCTCACGCTTCTTGGGGACAGAGCACTGGCAGGCTAGGGAAGCACCGGACGCCCCCAGTCCATGCCACGCCTCACCACTAGTCCCAGAGCAAACGGCAAGCTTCCTACCCCCACACACAGGGCCTTCCTGCAGGGGCAGCTCGGGGGAGGACCAGGAGGCAGATTCTCACCGGCTGGGCATCAGATGAGAGGTGAGAGGCCCCAGCCACGGTGCCAGCAGCCCTCACTGACCGTGAAGAGACAAAGCGTCTGAGGGAGGAGGGCGGTCCCTGGCTCTCCAGGTGACAATGCCCAGGTCCCTCCCACCCCTCCCCCAGCCCCGCCAGCTGTTCACACTGTGACCTGCCAAATACTAAATGACTTGAGACTGTGGGTGTGCAGAGTTAAATTTGATTCTGCAAGGTTAGACATGAAGTCACCTCACCAAGTGCCCTCCAACAGTACCGGCCTCAGGACCAACACTGGCCAGCCAGGCTCCACAGCCCGCACACATACACCGGCTCCGTCCTGACAGCATGCCGAGTTTTGAGCCGTTTCACACTTGCTGGTACTTTCTGCTTTCTGTGGGGTCAAGTGGAAACACACACTTACTTTTCTTCCTTGGCTGCAGGAGACTGCTCGTGATCGTACTGACTTAAATTTTTATAGGCTTTTGTCAGACTTTCACTGAAGTCTTCTGGAACTTCATTTTTATCCAGTTTTCTAGAATGAATGCAAACAAAACAAACTGACAATTTGTTAACATTGTTCTAAGGGAAGCTAAATCTGGGCATCTGTCTCCCAAGAAGAGCTTCTGCCCCAGCTCCTTCCGTTGCCTGTGGTCCCAGCTCTGGTTTTCCTCCTCTCCCCCCTCAGCCCCTCCTCATGAGACAGATGCTGACCTCCACCGTATGGATCCCTGCTGCCCAAGCAAGACTGATAGGCCACAGGCCACCGCCAGCGCTGCCCTCTGGGGAGCTCCAACCCCCGCCACGGTCCCCGTCACAGGAGTGCCCAGCATTGTTGGGCACTGGGTGTCCCGAGCCCGACCTGACGGAGGCCTCAGGGCCTCAGGCCCCCCCAGGGGAGGCGACCTTGGCCTGCGCTGTCCCCAGCCACTCACGCCTTCAGCGTGTTGATGAGGAAGGAGACGGACAGGTTGATGGAACTCTTCTTTTCTTCCCTTAACTGGAGCTCATCCATTAATTCATGACGAATCTGACATAAAATACACAGAGTATCGATCTGGATCCAAACAAGGAATTAGAGACATGGTTCTGGGTCTTGGTTTTGTTATTTACAAATTTGATATTTGTAATTAAGATGTATCTCTTCACTAAGCTTTATCTTCAGATTTTTCAGCTCTAATTTAAAGCTGATTCAATAATATTAACAAGGGGCGAATGCTCTGGGGGCTCAGGCCTTAGAAATTGTAACACTACAGGTTTCCTGTTCTTCTTCAAAATTCGCACCCCAGTGGCCAAAGCAATCATACAACACGCGGTGGAAGCCAAGACTTGCTTCCTGTGGTGTCCCTTTGTTTATGGGGTTTGGGTGCTACGTGCCATGTAGTTTTCTGAGCAGCTGCTTCTCACCATGAGGGAGAAGATCTGCCGGTACTTGTGTGGCACGTTGGCCTTTATGAAGGGTGCCACTGTGGTGCAGAACTTGGCGGCGTCCTCCTTCCTCCCCGCCTCCAGGTAGCAGTCCAGCAGCTCCCTGGCAACAGAAAAGCGGAGGGCTGAGCTGCCGCCAGGGCGCTGCACACAGGGGCATGCTTACGTGTCACAAACTTAGAAAGGGCCTGGAGGACGGCGGACTGCGGGACCGACGCGGAGAGACGGACGCCACAGCAAGCAAAGGGAAAGGCATTTTAATGATGAGGGACATTCAAAAAGGACACTGAAGCAGCATTTTTATCCATAGCTACTTCATTTAAAGGCTCTCCAAATGGCCACAAGCCCACAATTTCTGATGGAGATTTAAGAGTGGAGTCTGGTTCGGATACCATGGTCAGGTCCCTGGCCTGCACAGACAGCTCTCCTTCCGGGCAGCCCACGGTGACCAGGCCAGTGCTGATGGTCTATCTGGGTTGGCTGTAACTCTCAGGTCTGGCTGGGCCAGCAGGCACCGGTGCTGTCTCATGGCTTAGCGATCTGCTGGAGTGCTCACTATGCTAAGAATTCACTGCACTAAGATTTTTAAACTGCGGGCTGGGTCTGGAGGTGGAACTGTAATTCCTTTGCTTGGAGACTGGACACACCTCTCTTGTCTGTAGACACGTCACAGGGAGAGGCAGACACTGTGGGATCGACGGCAGGGACTACAAGCTGGCCACCAGAGTGGCAGTTCAGAGTCACAGATGGGCAGGGCCCGCCCCCCCCGGCGGCAGGGCCAGGGGACCCACTCACATCATCAGCTCGGCTCGCCACTCCTTGTCTTCCTCCTCTGTCTGATTTAACACACTGACAATCTGGGCGAGGCTGGGGATCACCAAGTGGTGGTATCCTGGGATGAGGAAGGGCCTCACCATGTGCCAGTACAGCACCGAAGCATTGAACACCAGGAAGTAATACCTGCGGGTGGGGGCCACGTCAGGGCCCCAGCCCTGGCCGGGAGAAAGGGCAGATGCCCCACACCCTCCAATACCCACCCCGTACCCACCCTGCCCCGAGACCAAGGGCTGCCCCATGCTGCATAAGTCTGCTACACGCTGCCATGACTCCCAGGTCTGGACTGGGCTACTCTCATTTATTCTACAAAGTTGTGATCCCCATGAAAACCCTCCACGAGCCGGAGAGGAGCGTGCATGGAAGGTGGCGCTGAATGAAGGGCCGTCAGGCCGGTGGAGGGGGCAGAATTCCGTGAGAGTGTGAGGGGGGGAGACCGGGGGCGGCACAGGGGCTGGAAGGTACCGATGGAGGCGGCTCTTCCCTCTGGGGCTCGGGGAGGTCCCACCCGATGCCTCGCAGCAGGCAATTCTCTGCCCCAAGGGCGGTCTGGGCCACCCCCTAGTCCTCCAGAGGCAGCTCCGACCACCATGTCACCCGTGGCCTGCTGCAGCCTCTGGCACCACCCTCCACAACAGGCTGTGCTCAGGCCCTGGCTCGTGGCGGGGAGACTGGGGCCGGGGAAGCCCATCCCAGAGGAGAGTGAATGGGAGTCCCTCACGCTCTCTACCATACCCCACAGGCCAGCAGTTTCAGTTTAGGTGTGAGCTGAACACTTCCAACAGTGCCATTTGTGGAGAAGAAAGCACTCGTCACGTGGACACCCGTTGGACTGTGAGAAGGCACCTTTGTCGACGGGAGACCTTGGCCCAGGAGCAGTGGGCAGCCAGCCCACTGGAGACATACTTTTTTTGTTTTTTGATGTCAGTACTGAGGCTTGAACTCAGGGCGTGGGCCCTGTCCCTTAGCTTTTTCACTCAAGGCTGGAGCTCTATCAACTAGAGCCACAGCTCTACTTCTGGCTTTTGGGTGGTTAAAGTGGAGATAGCATCCCAGTGGCTTTCCTCAGTTCCCAGGATTGAGCCACCAGTGCCTGGCTGAGCTGCTGACCTTGGAAGGCCAGGGAGAGCGGCCCAGGGGATAGGTCCACAGGAGAACACCTCATCTACACCCCAACCAGCCACTCAGGAAGGCGTGGCCCCAAGAGCATCTGTGTGGACATGGTCATCTCCCACGCAACCAGACACCCCTGTGATCAAACACTCTTAAAAACACAACACAGACCCGAAAGGGGAGCTGGGCTGCCCAAGCAGATAGAGCCACGGACGGGAGCTGGACCGCCCAAGCAGATAGAGCCTTGGGCGGGAGCTGGCACTAACCCCGCGAGGGAGGGACAGCTCACCCAGGCTTACCTCGGTTCTCCTTTGGCAAAGTTTATAGCCTTCATGTACTGAGTCACACAGTTTTCAAATTCTTCCTAAAACAACATTGAGAATGCACAAGTGAAATGACCTTGCCACCTAAGTGCCCTCTGCTGCTGTCACTTCTGCCGACACTCACACTGAAGACGGTGCTTACACACAGTGAGGAGCGGGGGGGGGGGAGGCTGAGTGAGACATGAACCCCAGCAGCCTGCGCCAGGCGCCGGCTCCCCCAGCCCCCTGCTGCTCCTCAGACACAGCTGACACACGTTGGCCACCTGACAAGCAGTGGCTGGCGCCACAGGGAAAGCGTCACCCTAGCTGTCACTCCATCTTGCTAACACGACTCTAAGACCTGTGTAGGCTGCCACCCGCGGATGGGGGGGCCGGGTGCCCTCACCAGGTTGTTCACGGACTGTGGGGCACATAACTGGGCCCTGCACAGGTGTGCTCGGCCCAGAAACTGGGTGACGGGTCCCTTCACCTTGAAGTACATCTGGATGCAGTCCTCGCTCACCTCTGGCCGTCCCATCTGCAAGACAACAGGACCGGAAGAGAACCTGAAAGATTCTCTTTGGATGGTACATCCTGAGTGCCGACTCCCTGCCCCCCAGGGTCACCCACACACCCCTCCCCCACGGGATCACTCCCTCTCCCCCATGGGTCATCCATACACCCCTCCTCCAAGGATCACTGCCCTCCCCCACCACATCACCCACCCCTCCCTCCCAGGGTCACCCACCCACCCCTACCTCCCTCACAGAATCACCGACCCCACCCTTCCCGTGGGTCCCCCCACCCCACTGGCCTCTTCAGCTGTGCGCATCCAGAGGTAGGGATGCCCTCCCAAGGGGCTGGGCAGTCACCTTGAGAGCCTGCTCTGCACACAGCACAAACAGGTCTGGGCTGAAGCTTTCTGAGGGGTCAAACTCAGACTTCCCCAGGTTGGCAGATTTGATCAACTGGTAGGCTCGTTCCAGGGCCTCTGCGTCTATCCGCACAGGGGTGGGCGGAGGCACAAGGTGTTAGAAAGAAGACCCACCCAGCAGGCCTGTGGAGACCCCATGTCCCACCCCATTGGCCCACGGAGACCTCATGACCCACCCATTGGCCCATGGAGAACCCATGACCCACCCATTGGCCCATGGAGACCCCATGTCCCACCCATTGGCCCACGGAGACCCCATGACCCACCCATTGGCCCACGGAGACCCCACGACCCACCCATTGGCCCACGGAGACCCCACATCCCACCCATTGGCCCACGGAGACCCCACGTCCCACCCAGCAGGCCTGTGGAGACCCCATGACCCACCCATTGGCCCACGGAGACCCCACATCTCACCCATTGGCCCACGGAGACCCCACATCCCACCCATTGGCCCACAGAGACCCCACGACCCACCCATTGGCCCACGGAGACCCCAC